GTCAATACCACTCACTGGCTGATAACTACAGGAAGGCAGCTAGTCAATACCACTCACTGGCTGATAACTACAGGAAGGCAGCTAGTCAACAGTTCTCACCGCAAATTCTTGGGCCATTCTTGTCAGACCGAATAGTGGGATTTGATTGTCGTTCTTATAACCTTCCCACGGCCCCAAAATGTGGAGCTCGATATTTTTTTAAATCAACATTTCTACACACTAACTCTGGGTCACACTCGGCTCATTTAACTAAGAGAAATGACGAGTGATATGTTGGTATCATAAACAATAACTTTGTGCATAATTTTAGATTACAGTTATCTTTTTAAATGTTGTAAACATGTCCATGGTTTGAACCTGTAAAGCTGTTATTGATATTTCACAAGTATGGCCTAGGCTTCGTCAATTTTATAATGTTTCCAATACAGTCTGTTTCTGTTCTCTTCTTCGTCTGTTGGGCGTTGGTGGGCACGAAACCAGTCTTGTAGCATCGCTTATCCAACAGTCATGCGGACAGACATGATTGAGGGCCACTTCCTAGGTTCGTTTTCATTTGTAAAATTAGTTCCGGTTTAGTTTCCAAAAGCGTTTAATTCAATCAACTGGGAAATTCTCTTAGCAGTATTTTTTATTCTTCATCTGACCAAATCTACAGCATCTGCTTTCAGTTTCAATCTCTGTTTTTCTTGAAGTCTTTTCTTTTTATTGTTAGATTTTCTAAATGTTGAGTTGAGAATAGAATAGACAGGTTTTGTTAATTCTGTTATTGTGTGAGTTACCACTACAAATTCCGCTATCCAAGTCATCCAGACCTCCTGTTTTGTAGATCAACTAACCTGGAAGGTAATTATTACATAGGAAGGAAAAGAAAAATCACCACGACCTAGGTTACGCCGTGGTGAGTGTAAAATCCTGTTTAGACTAAGAAAAATAATCATTATGCAAAAAAATTCCTACTTCGTTACATATACAATTATGACGACGAGATGATCGTTTACTAGTACGGTTCGTTATGGCGACGAGATGATCGTTTACTAGTACGGTTCGTTATGGCGACGAGATGATCGTTTACTAGTACGGTTCGCTAAGCTATCAAACTCATCGTATTCATAATAATTCTTATTTCTCTGTATATGATTTATTTCCAAAGATGATTAAACACATTCTTTTCACAGATAGGTGCACAGTAAGATAAATATTTATTTTTTGTTAAGCGCAAAATTGCAGAAGGGGTTACGTGTGCTATGACCACCACTGGGAGAGAATATCGAATTTATAGTTTTTAAGAGTTGCTGGGGGTGGGGAGCATAAAAGAGTACCAAACGATTAAACTAAGTAATACATCTCCTTCCCTCTAAAGAACTCGAGAAATGAAAAACACATATTCTTCAGAAATTATTGAATTTAAATGCAACTGAATGCCATATACCTAACAATTCGAGTGTAAAGAATTAAACAAAATACAAATACTTTAGCGTGAAACTTCTTGGAAATTTTGTTACAATTGAACTACTAACTGTTGATAAACAGTCATAAAAAAGATGAAAAAGATAAATATTCGAGTGCTCAAAAAAAAAATTATAATGACAATAATAACTCCTAACCTGTTCCACTTCTAAAATATTCAAAAGATAAAAAAATACGTTTTTGAATAATATTTTGAAGCAACATGTCAGTTACCTTGATTAGTTGATGGGACAGTTCTTCATATGACCGCGTATCATCCAAAGATGGAATAACTCCCCATCTCTAATTATGTCACAGGGTCTTTGTGTACATAACTAACACAGTATTTTTACGTCGATACAGTACAAACTTAACAGTAGGAGGATTATAGAACTGGATCATAGAGACTATTACTTCCCTGTTATAGCTAGTTCTCGGTCAACTCTGGTTTAAGACAACAGTGACCTACTTGAGTGATGTTCAGTAATTTTTATATAGCCAAATATAAATATGATTATAAATATAAATATATGAATCGTTATTTGTCTTCCTATTATTATATTAGCATAACGTGTTTCTTTACTCAAATAGTCACAGCTAATCAGCTGGAAGCCAACCCTCTTCCTATTATTATATTAGCATAACGTGTTTCTTTACTCAAATAGTCACAGCTAATCAGCTGGAAGCCAACCCTCGTCCGCCAAACTATGTAGACACGTCTCCACTTCTGAAGACGTTTGATAGTTGAGAAAAAAAAAGTCGACATTATCTCGAAAAAAACGGATATTATTTTCGGATTCAGCGTACAGGAATTACTATAGAATATATATAGATATGAATAAAACTATTGCAGGCCTGTGTTATTACAGAGATGACTGATTTCGGCTGTTCTCGGTAAATGGCTCTCTATTACTTTCAGATGGCACGGCTGTATGATTATGAAATTGAAAACTCTATTTCTAAAAATAGTGTTTTTGTTAAATATATCTATCAAAATATACTCATGCTTCTGTTTGGAGCACAGACACATATATCGCCCTGTATAATTTCTGTCATTCACTGGCTACAGCAGTTCGAATACCAATTATGACTGGAGATAATACGTTCCATATGGAGGTAGAATAAAGTTTACCTTGAAAGCATGAAGTAAAAATAAAATGTAAGAAAGCTGTATTATCAACATATAAAGTTTTAGCACATTGCATTTTTTATTACATTTTATTGTGTCTTACAAGTAATAGGGTAAAAATGAACAACTTACGTTATGGAAATCCGCCATCTCGGAGGCCATTAGTTTTACAGGCTGGAACGGGGGGGCCAGGATTGTCTGGCGAGTGAACAAGGATTTTCTTTAACTTATGAGCTCCGATGTGTGCTGTCTTACCTATGATTCTGGTTGAGTTAATGACTGCTTTCGCACCTGCTCGCTGTTCTACGGCCTAAATAAACAGTCCCTGCCACCTATCGGTAAACAAGGAAAACATATTAAGCAAACGCTGAAAAAGTAATGGGTGAATGAAGAGTTCCAATGAATGATGTTTCCTGGTATAGCGATGAAGTGAGTACGGTTAGCTTTACATTTCGGGTATAGTTCGCAGGTAATTTTACTATGATTGATCAAGGGATTCTAATAATTAGTAGTTTGATTCATTGGGAAAGAATCTGAGTCTGAATCACATTTATCAAAATGTGGTACCCCCGGGGGCACAGCGGTAAGCTTGAAAGCCTAACTTTGGAGTTTGATCCCTGCGGTGAGCACACCACAGATAAAGAATTGTTCAGTGTTGTGTGCTTAATACCAACCTATCAGTGTTATTCGTTAACTATAATAATTATTTAGTGTGGCTTATAATAAGAAAAGGCTTTCCAGTTTATTTATGAGACTAAAGAAGAAACCAATCTATCTGTTTATCTATGTGTTTATCTGTATATCTTTGCAAGCATTCGTTTCTTTTGGACCTGGCGTAACTCATACAAGTTGTGTATTTTATATAAGTTTTTAATTTCCATATATTAATTAATTTCGCTTTTGCCGATAAAGAAACTTAAAAAAAAAAACAAAAAAACGCCACATTCGCGAGTATTATTGTACATACTTTATTCCTAGTTTGAGTAGGATTTGATATCAGGGCTGCGCACATGAATCCAAATTTGACTGCTCTTTCATCTTAAGCACACATATATTATGCATATAAACCATATCAACACGCACGTACATCATACCCATAGAAAAAAAATAGCAATATACACCAAAATAATCGAATCCGTATGTATAGAGCTACTGGGAGGAGCGGGCCCCCTGCTTCCCCACTTTGTGCATGCTCCTGTTTATTACACTTTTCAAATACTCATCTATCATCTGTGTGTTTTTGTTGTTGTTGTTGTTGTTAAATACAACATGAACGTTTTTATTTTTCGAGCTATACAATGAGCACAAAAACTTATTACCGGAAACAGGAAATGACGTTATTCATTAGACAGGTGAAACTTAAAATTCTACATAGTGTTATTTATCATCAGTGAAATATGATGACCTTGAGAGTGTTGCCTCTACATAAACTCTATGCGTCTAAAATTTAGTAATGAATCTTAATAGTATATACAGACTACAATTTAAACATGTGTTTGTCTAATGAACTTGTATCGTAGATTAATCACGTTTTTCTGAGTGAATTTAAATTTGTTTTAAAAATATAAATCTGTGTTTGTTTGAGACTGTTACTTTTTGAAGCATATAAATGTATTTAGGTATGAATAAAGCTGTTTGTGCGTTAATTGAAGCTCTTATTTACACACATATGTATATTTTAATCATTCAGAGACCTATCAAAACACATTGTTCCAGAAGCACAACTTTCGATGAATATAAATTAACTAAAGATAAAGCAGTCGTGTAACTGAATAACATATAAGCTTGTGAAGCAGATTCGCGCAAGTCTAAACCTGCTAAAAACGTTTCACATATAATCAGTAACCGCACAATTTTTTTAAACTCCAAGACTCCATGAGCTGAGCGTGGCTGAGTGATTAGTGTGCAGCGACTGTGAATTCTAGGTTCCACTATAAACGTCCTTTTACCAACAAAACACGTTTTGCACTTCGGAGATAGCCGTGGATGAGCTTTAAGGTGACGGTCAGATCCCACTATTCAATCCGAGAAGAAAAGTTGGCAGTGGGTGCTGTGGACTGGCTATCTTTTTTAT